GGTTGATAAAGCCCTGATTCACCGGGAGGCCTGGTCGTGGACCGGGCCGCGGGGTCGTTGATCCCCGGAATAACCTCCAGGTAGACGTAACTTACAAAATCATAATCACGGAACGGGCGAGTCTTGAACCCATGGCGAGTGAGTTGTAAAACTCACAGACCAGCGAGTTTTAGAGCTCACTGGCCATGGGGTCAAACCCCACTTGTTCCCTGATTTAATCTCATGCGTCTTTGTGTTGATTCCAACTCATTTCTTTCCCCAGAATGTACTATTATCAATATTTTAGTTTAACAATGAGCATTCCCTTATACCTCGCACTTGTTCGTCTTCATAAGGAATATTTCCAAATTGTCACTGTCCAGTAACCTGCCCAATCTTCTTAATAAAAGAGAAAACCTCAAACTCAATGGTAAAAAGAAAGAATAATAAAAAATAAACAATTTATTTACAACGTTAACATCGCAGCTATGTGTACTATTAATTTACTAAAAAACATAATTTATTCTACTTTCTAGTAACACTAATACTTTAAGTTATTTAAGTGTGGATTCTTAACACTATCTAGTAGTAGTGGGTAAGTCAGTCTTAACAAACCTATCACAGAGTAAAAAAAATCTCCCTTGTGTTTGGAATATAATGAGACGACTAGAGTAACAATAGGAAGCGCTTCTGTCTAGGGCTAAGCAGACGGAGGATCGAGCCTTCATTACGTCTTGTGCTGAATGACCCATTTGGATGTAGCGCCTAACAGGTATTATTCTTATTATTGGGATATAAGATGTATGCAAGTCATATACCGTCATGTCGGGTATATTATATTATCTTGGCAAACATAACACATACCTGAGTGATGGCAACCACAGTATACTACACCTGGCTGATAACTAACTTGTTACACTTCACCTAGATCACGGCAACACTGTTCTACCCCCACATAGACAGCACTGTTGTACCCCCACCTAGACAACACTGTTGTACCCCCACCTAGACAACACTGTTGTACCCCCACCTAGACAACACTGTTCTACCCCCACCTAGACAAACACTGTTGTACCCCCCTCCCCTAGACAACACTGTTCTACCCCCCCCTAGGGAAAAACTGTTGTACCCCCACCTAGACAACACTGTTGTACCCCCACCTAGACAACACTGTTCTACCCCCACCTAGACAACACTGTTGTACCCCCCTCCCCTAGACATCACTGTTGCATCTTGCAAGTTAACTAACGTTGTGCCTGACTCAAGGCCTCTCTACAAATCTGCCTTAGACACGAGGAGCATTCTGAAGAACGCCCTGCCACGCTATCTCTCTGTTTTTCGTGCTGCTTTCCTCCAGGAGGGCCTGAGTGCCGCTGAAGAACTCATTTTCGGCTGTAAAGGTGTTAATGACGACATTGATCTGGACGTGCTTGATCCCGGCGGCGTGGGCGACGAGACCGGTAATATAAACGTCCTCCAGCTTGAGGAAGGGAACGTAAGAGGCATATTTTATCAGCTGCTGCAAAGCCAAATTTCCCACCAGGTAAGCCGGTCCATGAACGAACGGTGGATATCTGTTTTCCGGGTACTCATCCTGTTGGTCAATAAGCGCTATTACTACAAATAACTAACAGAAACGTATTATTACGATTCAGACAATGACTGGTTATTTAGCCATGCTAATATTTATCAGCCAGAAGAAGAGAAAAGTATGATTTCAAGCAAAGATGTTTTTTGGACGATTGATAAAATTTAAGTCTGCCAATAGGAGAAATGGGACTGCACGATCGGTTACTGATGCACGGTAGCGATCACCTGCGTGGACAGGGATTGCTGAGTCAACAGGGCACCTAAAAGCAACATGTTTTAAATATTACTTGTCTGGTCACCAACTGACTGACCGACGACTGACTCTTGAGGCTTCTTTCCTCTGCATATGAAAAGCAAGAAACTTCACTCTTGCTTTATGATTAGCTAGCACAACTCTAACCGGATCAAGGATGGAACCTCTGCCCTTTGTCTGATGACACAGCGGGTTTTTTGAGCCTAAGATTTTTAAAATAAAAAGAAAGTTTTTGGGGATGACCTTAGACACGCCCCACTTGCGGACCTGGGGGATGGGGGTTCAGGGTCGAAGCGGCCGTAAAATAGTCGGATCTGTTGAGTTTTGGGCAGCAACACTTCGTTCCGGGCTTGGTCCTGCAATCAACCAAAGAAGATCACTGGGGATTGAAGGGGGTAGGGGGGAAGGGGAAGGTAGAGAGGAAAGTGGGAGGTGCAGGGGGAAATGAGGATGGAGGAAAAAAAAGGGGAAATGTGTTTTAATAGTTACTTTAAATGATGCTGCCGAACACTCCCATTAAAAACAAATAATTAAAAGCATAAAAGAGGTAAAACGTTGGGGGTCATAGTCCCCGGATGTTTATTGTCTTTTTGTGTTTTAACAACCCCCCCGAACGACTTACCCAGGGTTTGGGGGTCATGCAGCTGCTTCAGGGGAACTTTTCAGGTGGAAGGGTTGACCAAAACCCTCGTCGTCCACCTTTGCGATGAAGGGAACATAGGGCAGTAGGAGGGGCCCAAAAAAACTGGCCCGGGTTTTGTATGTTAGGTTCCCGCGGGGGGAGGTGATTGTTGAGTGAATAATACCTATGCTGCTGTGTCAGAATTTAGTGAATAAAAAACCCCTACTGCTGTGTCGAAGTTTAGTGAATAATACATATGCTGTGTCAGAATTTTTTTGAAAAAATACACTACTGCTGTGTCAAGGTTTGTGTAATACACTACTGCTGCTGTGTCAAAAGTTTAGTGAATAAAACATACGCTGTGTCAGAGGGGTTTTGGAAAAAAACACATGCTGTGTCGAAGTTTTCCCCCCTGTACCACTGCTAGTTTTTAAATGTAGTTACTGCTAATAAAGACTGTAGTTACTGTAGACAAAGACATTTTATTGTGGCTAAGACTGTTGTTATGCTGACTAAGATGTTGTTATTTTTTGGACCCCAAGACTGTTGTTCTGCTAGACTAAGACGTTGTTATGCTGGGCTAAACTTTGTTTTGTGGACTAAGACTGTTGTTATGCTTGACTAAAACTTTGTTTTTGCTGACTAAGACGTTGTTATTGCGGACTAAGCTGTTGTTACTGCTAGCTAAGCTGTTGTTATTGCTGGGGTAAGATGTTGTTACTGCTAACTAAGATGTTGTTTTTGTGGGCTAAGACTGTTCACTGCTGGACTAAGACTGTAGTACTGCTGGACTAAGACTTAGCCTGCTGGACTAAAAACTGTAGCACTGCGGACTAAGACTGTGCTACTGGGACAAGACGTAGCTACTGCTGGCTAAGACTGTTGCTACTGCTGGACTAAGACTGTAGCTACTGCTGGACTAAGACTGTAGCTACTGCTGGACTAAGACTGTAGCTACTGCTGGACTAAGACTGTAGCTACTGCTGGACTAAGACTGTAGTTACTACTGGACTAAGACTTGTGACTGCTGGACTAACCATTATGAAAATGTGCTAAAACTAATTAAATTACCTTCAGTTTGTCTTCAAACTGACCATTTAGATTTGATTCATCTTTCCATACCCGGAATAAAAGCTTTGACTGGATCACATTATTATTATTATTATAATCATAACTAAGCGCTAAATCCATAAGGGTCATACAAACAAATCTATAAAACTTATCTAACTCACATCTAACCCTAAAAAAAAAGATTAAAATCTTATCTATTACATTTATTTTTTTTAGGGGTAAACTCGTAGAGGTCACATGGGTTATGAAGGTAATTATTTAGGGTTCATGAAGCCCTTAATAAACATTGGTAGGGTTCAAAAGCCCTTAATAAACATTGTTAGCGTACTAGAATAACACACTCTGACACAAACTTCTCTACTCCGCTATTTCACAAAGAGAATTTATTGTTAAGACTTTAGGTGTGGCAGACTCACGCGTAGGAGTCTATAAAGTTGTACTGAGCCAGATCATGGTGCTGGGTAGCTTCGCATCCAGGGCAGCCTGTAGTTCAGGGTCCAGCGTTGACCCCACCATGAACACAGCCCTGAGAAAAGCAGACAGGTTACGAATTTGCAAAACACAAGATTGATATTAGTTATTCAGAGCTTTGAACATCAAGAAGTAGCTTACATCACTAGTATATCACCGCCTCATAAGTTATTTCGACAGATTGCTTGTATCAACACCATTTTGATGTTTCCATGATTAATTTACTCCCATCAGAGATTTACTCACAACATAATTAAAATATTTCCTTAACTGTATTCCAAACTATATCAATAACTCGTGGAAAATCATTGGCCATATTCTACATGTTTTCACGAGTACACAACTACAGCCAACATATAATAGTAACTCCAGCTCCTGTAGAAGTGAACATTTAAGTTGATGTAGATACTAAACAGTGGAATACTAAACTATATCTTATTCACCCAGTTTAGACTGGAAGATTTCGTTCTTATTTAAGCAACACATTTTGTGTTACAAAACTGAAACTTAGTTAACAGTTGTTCCCACTTTGTGATATCATTTACACCGTGGCCTGGTGGCTGAAGCTCTCGCTTCACACACGGAGGACCCGGGTTCGATTCGCGGCGGGGTGGAAACATTTCGACGCGTTTCCTTACACCTGTTGTCCTGTTCACCTAGCAGCAAGTAGGTACCTGGGTGTTAGTCAACTGGTGTGGGTGGCATCCTGGGGGACAAGACTGAGGACCACAATGGAAATAAGACAGACAGTCCTCGATGACGCACTGACTTTCTTGGGGTAGCTTGGGTAGCTAACCCTCCAGGGTTAAAAATCCATACGAAATCTTATCTTATCTTAACAGTGTAGGCACTATGGGTGCCTATTCAAGGATCCCAGTGGAAATAACTCACTTTGACCATTTTGCAGTTATTCTAGGTAATTTACAGACGCATGATAATTGTATTTATGCGCACCTGTGGCTAAATAAAGATGTTTACTTTATTCTACCCTATAAATGAGTAGGCGGAACCAACCTGAGACCAGAGTGCGGGTACCAGGTGGAGTTGGCCCAAGTCCTCCTAATGAAGTCACGTCTGTCTCTGCTGGTGAGGGCGGTCATGACCAGGGCCAGCACCAGCGGGGCACCCTTTTCCCTAGGGCCCACCTCACCCTTAGGGCCCACCTCACCCTTAGAGCCCACCTCACCCTCAGGGCCCACCTCATCTTTGGGACACACATTCCGCGGCTGGTGATGCCATCTCACCAAATCTGGGATTGCGTTCACCTTCGGGCCGGTCAGATTCAGTTTTTTCCTGGAGTTGATGAAGCTGCGGGAAAAGTTAAGGCATCACGAGAAATATTAAAAATATCTCGCCTTCAAATTTAAGAACATAAAAATAGAGGAACGCGAGCTGCGCTACCTGTCTCTACCAGCAGATTCTTCGTCAGGTGAATTAAAAAATTATGTTCGTGCAGAAGTGTGCAGCTTGCAACTGTATGTCACCACAGTGTTGCAGGAGAGTGTGCAACGTTGATCATGCACACTGCCTCAGATGTGACACGCTGGTCATACACTGCCTCAGGTGTGACACGCTGGTCATACACTGCCTCAGATGTGACACGCTGGTCATACACTGCCTCAGGTGTGACACGCTGGTCATACACTGCCTCAGGTGTGACGCTAGTCATACACTACCTCAAGTGTGACACGCTGGTCATACACTGCCTCAGGTGTGACACGCTGGTCATACACTGCCTCAGGTATGACACGCTGGTCATACACTGCCTCAGGTGTGACACGCTGGTCATACACTGCCTCAGGTGTGACACGCTAGTCATACACTACGTCAGGTGTGAGACGCTGGTCATACACTGCCTCAGGTGTGACACGCTAGTTATACACTGCCTCAGGTGTGACACGCTGGTCATACACTGCCTCATGTGTAACACGCTGGTCATACACTGCCTCAGGTGTGATGACACGCTAGTCATACACTGCCTCAGGTGTGACACGCTAGTCATACACTACCTCAGGTGTGACACGCTAGTCATACACTGCCTCAGGTGTGACACGCTGGTCATACACTGCCTCAGGTGTGACACGCTGATCATACACTGCCTCAGGTGTGACACGCTAGTCATACACTACGTCAGGTGTGAGACGCTGGTCATACACTGCCTCAGGTGTGACACGCTAGTTATACACTGCCTCAGGTGTGACACGCTGGTCATACACTGCCTCAGGTGTAACACGCTGGTCATACACTGCCTCAGGTGTGACACGCTAGTCATACACTGCCTCAGGTGTGACACGCTAATCATACACTATCTCAGGTGTGACACGCTAGTCATACACTGCCTCAGGTGTGACACGCTGGTCATACACTGCCTCAGGTGTGACACGCTGGTCATACACTGCCTCAGGTGTGACACGCTAGTCATACACTACCTCAGGTGTGACACGCTGGTCTTTACACTGCCTCAGGTGTGACACGCTGGTCATACACTGCCTCAGGTGTGACACGCTAGTCATACACTACGTCAGGTGTGAGACGCTGGTCATACACTGCCTCAGGTGTGACACGCTAGTTATACACTGCCTCAGGTGTGACACGCTGGTCATACACTGCCTCATGTGTAACACGCTGGTCATACACTGCCTCAGGTGTGATGACACGCTAGTCATACACTGCCTCAGGTGTGACACGCTAGTCATACACTACCTCAGGTGTGACACGCTAGTTATACACTGCCTCAGGTGTGACACGCTGGTCATACACTACCTCAGGTGTGACACGCTAGTCATACACTGCCTCAGGTGTGACACGCTAGTCATACACTACCTCAGGTGTGACACGCTAGTTATACACTGCCTCAGGTGTGACACGCTAGTCATACACTACTCAGGTGTGACACGCTAGTCTTTACACTGCCTCAGGTGTGACACGCTAGTCATACACTACCTCAGGTGTGACACGCTAGTCATACACTACCTCAGGTGTGACACGCTGGTCATACACTACCTCAGGTGTGACACGCTGGTCATACACTGCCTCAGGTGTGACACGCTAGTCATACACTGCCTCAGGTGTGACACGCTAGTCATACACTACCTCAGGTGTGACATGCTAGTCATACACTGCCTCAGGTGTGACACGCTGGTCATACACTGCCTCAGGTGTGACACGCTGGTCATACACTGCCTCAGGTGTGACACGCTGGTCATACACTACCTCAGGAGTGACACGCTGGTCATACACTACCTCAGGTGTGACACGCTGGTCATACACTGCCTCAGGTGTGACACGCTGGTCATACACTGCCTCAGGTGTGACACGCTGGTCATACACTACCTCAGGTGTGACACGCTGGTCATACACTACCTCAGGTGTGACACGCTGGTCATACACTGCCTCAGGTGTGACACGCTGGTCATACACTGCCTCAGGTGTGCCCACGCTGGTCATACACTGCCTCAGGTGTGACACGCTGGTCATACACTGCCTCAGGTGTGACACGCTGGTCATACACTACCTCAGGTGTGACACGCTGGTCATACACTGCCTCAGGTGTGACACGCTGGTCATACACTGCCTCAGGTGTGACACGCTGGTCATACACTGCCTCAGGTGTGACACGCTAGTCATACACTGCCTCAGGTGTGACACGCTAGTCATACACTGCCTCAGGTGTGACACGCTAGTCATACACTGCCTCAGGTGTGACACGCTGGTCATACACTGCCTCAGGTGTGACACGCTGGTCATACACTGCCCTCAGGTGTGACACGCTGGTCATACACTGCCTCAGGTGTGAACACGCTGGTCATACACTGCCTTCAGGTGGGGACACGCTGGTCATACACTGCCTCAGGTGTGACACGCTGGTCATTACACTGCCTCAGGTGTGACACGCTGGTCATACACTGCCTCAGGTGTGACACGCTGGTCATACACTGCCTCAGGTGTGACACGCTGGTCATACACTGCCTCAGGTGTGACACGCTGGTCATACACTACCTCAGGTGTGTGCCACGTTGTTCACACACACACATATACACACTACATCCCAAGTTATATAATAATTATTATACACACTGGGAAGCGGTAAGGTCGTACGTGTCATACTGCGCACCTGTTACACGAACACAATGTACACTGTGTTTTACTAGCAAGTGTCTCACACCTGTGTAAGCCAACCACAACACAAGTGTTTCAAAGAAAGAATAAAAAATAATAACAATTTATTATTATTATTATTATTATCATTATTATTATTATTATTATTATTATTATCATCATTATTATTATTATTATTATTATTATTATTATTATTATTATTATTATTATCATTATCATTATTATTATTATTATTATTATTGGAAATATAAACACAAATGCAGTATAATGTGATCCTTTATTGACAACGTTTCACCCACACAGTGGGCTTTTTCAAGTCACACACGGATCTACCTGGGGTTGGAAGGTACGAGAGTATTTATAGTCATGTTCAGAATGTTGAGGTCAGGTGGAGAATGCTGCATCTGATGATCCCACATAAGAACATAGAACACTGCAGAAGGTCTACAACTTGTCCAATACCCCTGCCAAGCTACCCAAGACTCTATAACTCCACCCGGTAGATCATCAGATGCAGCATTCTCCACCTGACCTCAACATTCTGAACATGGTAGGTAAGACACATAGGCAACAGTTAGGCAACTTTATTCCGAAACGTTTCGCCTACACAGTAGGCTTCTTCAGTCGAATACAGAAAGTAGGCAGGAACAGTAGAGATATGAAGACGATGTAATCAGTCCATCACCCTTCAGTTCCTGACTATGGAACTGAACTTCTCCAGACTGAGGGACTGACAACCTCAAATTCTACGACTTTAAGGGTGATGGACTGATTACATCGTCTTCATATCTCTACTGTTCCTGCCTCTTTCTGTATTCGACTGAAGAAGCCTACTGTGTAGGCGAAACGTTTCGGAATAAAGTTGCCTAACTGTTGCCTATGTGTCTTACCTACCAACCTGTCGGTATTTTATACCACTTTAATGTTCATTCTGAACATGACTATAAATACTCTCGTACCTTCCAACCCCAGGTAGATCCGTGTGTGACTTGAAAAAGCCCACTGTGTGGGTGAAACGTTGTCAATAAAGGATCACATTATACTGCATTTGTGTTTATATTTCCATTGTGTCGGCATTTTATACCATTTATTTCCATTATTATTATTATTATTATTATTATTATTATTATTATTATTATTATTGTTGTTGTAGATGAATGGTTCACAGAACTCGAGAGGAAGAGTTAAACCAAAATTGCGTCAGCAATTGCAGTTAAGAAAAGCCAGTGAAAATATAAACACATATGCAGTATAATGTGATCCTTTATTGACAACGTTTCGCCCACACAGTACGCGAGTATTTATAGTAACGTAGATCTTGTGAAGAATGGTTTTGAAAACCGACAAGTTGAAGATCTGTGCAAAGAAAGGTATAAAATACCGACAATATGAAAGTTAAGACACATGTGCAACATCTGGATATCTTTATTGTAGTAGACGTTTCGCCATCCAGTGGCTTTATCAATACAGATTCTAGGACATAATAGGAAGACAGTAGAACTATATACAAAAGATGAGGTAATCAGTCCCTCGGCCTTGGAGTTAGTGTTCACAGCATCGTGGTGGAGGAGAGTCTGGAGCAAAGACAAGAAGACTGGCGCTTTTTATAGGTGTCAGTGAATGGGAACGGGCAGCAAAACGAGGTCAGTCCTGGTAGGCGGGATTCCCCCAGTGGAAGTAGGTCCTTCCCAAAGAGAGGGGTTATTGCAGCGGGCCGTGAAGAAGGTCTTGTAGATGTCCTCTGAACCAAGATTCCATGATGTTGCAGTGTCTGACAAGTTGTGCAAAAAAAGGGTATAAAATACCGACAATATGAAAGTTAAGACACATGTTAACATCGGTATCTTTATTGTATAGACGTTTCGCCATCCAGTGGCTTTATCAATACAGATTCTAGGACATAAAAAGGAAGACAGTAGAACTATATACAAAAGATGAGGTAATCAGTCCCTCGGCCTTGGAGTTAGTGTTCACAAGCACGGGGTGGAGGAGGGGTCTGAGCAAAGACAAGAAGACTGGCGCTTTTTTTTAGGCGTCAGTGAATGGGACGGGCAGCAGACGAGGTCAGTCACTGGTAGGCGGGATTTCCCCAGTGGAAGAGGTCCTTCCCAAAGAGATGGTTATTTTGCAGCAGCCGTGAAGAAGGTCTTGTAGATGTCCTCCTAAAACCAAGATTCCATGATGTTGCAGTGTCTGACAAGTTGTGCAAAAAAAGGTATAAAATACCGACAATATGAAAGTTAAGACACATGGAAAACATCGGGATATCTTTATTGTAGTAGACGTTTCGCCATCCAGTGGCTTTATCAATACAGATTCAAAGGACATAATAGGAGACAGTAGAACTATATACAAAAGATGAGGTAATCAGCCCCCTGGGCCCTTTGGAGTTAGTGTTCACAGCATCGTGGTGGAGGAGAGTCTGGAGCAAAGACAAGAAGACTGGCGGCGAAACGTCTACTACAATAAAGATATCCAGATGTTGCACATGTGTCTTAACTTTCATATTGTCGGTATTTTATACCTTTCTTTGCACAACTTGTCAGACACTGCAACATCATGGAATCTTGGTTCAGAGGACATCTACAAGACCTTCTTCACGGCTGCTGCAACTAACCCATCTCTTTGGGAAGGACCTACTTCCACTGGGGAATCCCGCCTACCATGACTGACCTCGTCTGCTGCCCGTCCCATTCACGACCCCTAAAAAAAGGGCGCCAGTCTTCTTGTCTTTGCTCCAGACTCTCCTCCACCACGTTTGCTGTGAACACTAACCCAAGGCCGAGGGACTGATTCCCCTCATCTTTTGTATAAAGTTTCTACTGTCTTCCTATTATGTCCTAGAATCTGTATTGATAAAGCCACTGGATGGCGAAACGTCTACTACAATAAAAGATATCCAGATGTTGCACATGTTGTCTTAACTTTCATATTGTCGGTATTTATACCTTTCTTTGCACAAACTTGTCAGACACTGCAACATCATGGAATTTTGGGTTCAGAGGACATCTACAAGACCTTCTTCACGGCTGCTGCAACAAACCCCAAACTTTTTGGGGAAGGACCTATTTCCCCACTGGGGAATCCCGCCTACCAGTGACTGACCTCGTCTGCTGCCCGTCCCATTCACTGACCCTATAAAAAGCGCCAGTATCTGTTTTGCCAGACTTTCCACCACATGCTGTAACACTAACCTCCAAGGCGAGTACTGATAACCTCGGATTTTTTATACCACTTTCTAATGTCCTATTCTGATGATGCACTATGAATACTCTCGTACTTCAAACCAGGTAGATCCGTGTGTGACTTGTAAAAGCTCCACTTTGTGGTTTGAACACGCACCTTGTCATAATGGACATTATACGGATTCTGTGTTTCAAGATTTCCATTAGTGCTCGGCATTTATATAACCACTTTAGTTCCATTATTATGGGATTAATATACTTTTTATTATTATTACTTATATTAGATTTTTGTTGTTGTAGATGAAAGGTCACAAACTCCAAGGAGGAATGATTAAACTCAAAATTGCGTCGCATTGCAGCTTATGAAAAGCCTGGAAAAAATTAACAATATGCAGTATAAGTGATCCTTTATTGACAATCGTTCGCCCACACAGTACGCGAGTATTTATAGTAACGTAGATCTGTTTGTGACTTGAAAAAGCCCACTGTGTGGGCGAAACGTTGTCAATAAAGGATCACATTACACTGCATATGTGTTTATATTTCCATTGTGTCGGTATTTTTACCATTTATTTCCATAAGAAAAGCCAGGTTGCAGAACATGCTTCTATTGAAACAATGAGTCGCTGTGTGTATAACAATATGGTAACATGACAGAGGTGATCACACAGAGAGAAATGTTGTTCAAAACTGTGTTACCAAGCGAGTCTTGGCTTGTTTTGAGCAGTGTGCCTCTGTGATCCTGTCGTCACAACTGTAGTTAACATAAAGATATGGAAAACACTATGATTGTGTGAGTCCAGAAGTAGGTACATTAGAAATCTTCCGTATGAAGACAGATTGAAGTCCCTTAAATTACATTCACTTGTAAGACGAAGAATGAGGGGAGACATGATCGAGGTGTACAAGTGGAAGATGGGTATTAATAAATGGGATATAAATAAGGTCTTGATGATATCTCTCCAAGAGAGAACCCGCAATAATGGATTCAAATTAGACAAGTTTAGATTTAGAAAGGATGTAGGAAAGTATTGGTTTGAAAATAGGGTAGTTGATGAGTGGGACAGTCTACCTAGTAGGGTTATTGAGGCTAAGACTTTGGGTAGTTTCAAATTTAGGTTGGATAAATACACAAGTGAGAAGGGTTGGATCTGAGTGGGACTTGCACACGAGTTAATAGAATTATCAATGCCTATTCCTTGGGTAGAATTGAAAACTGAGTTGGGCAAATATTCTGTTAGTGGGATGGATTGTGAAGGACCTGCCTAGTATGGGCCAACAGGCCTGCTGCAGTGTTCCTCCTTTCTTATGTTCTTAGTAGTTAGGTGGTTGTGGTATTTGGGAAGCACTCTGACCTATCGGGTCACTCGAGGCTCATAACCATGGAAAAATATATACAACACAATTAAAACGAGAATAATAGTAATAATAAATTCAATGACTTGAATACTCATCGCAAATAAATACTATTAAATCAAATTAAAATAACCAGCATCAGTTAATAACCCCTTTAAATTATTAATGTCTAAAGATCCTCGAGGTTCACAGGCACTCGTAATTATAATACGATGAGAAGAGGAAGAACTGCCTAGGCACGAGTCTAATGTACAATGAGAGCTTACATAACATTAATGCCTAATTTACTTGAGCCTCCTTGATGATGTCTACACTGAAGCAACTTATGTAGCAGCATGTAATACCAGATCGTTAAACCCCTTTATTTATGTTATAATACTAATAAAATCATTGCCTTAGTAATCTTAAGTTAATTTAAGCCAGCGTAATGCTAATGCTAGTATATAGTGCGTTTGGATACTGCATTATCTGTATTTTTTTTGTCCTCTGTATGTGTGCACAAATTGGAAATAAATAAATAAATAAATAAATAATGACTCTCTTCCCTCGAAAGGTCTTAAACTCAAGAAATTAACGACAAAATGGCATGTATATGTTTGGAAATATCTGCTTCAGTTTCTTAGATCAAGAACCATCTTCCTTGAAGTACGGTTTACCTGAAGCGGTGTGGGTGGTTGATGGGGTTGTAGGTGGTGTTGGTTTCTGGTGTAAGCAGCAGTTGACCTTTACCCGTCTCTGTCTCCTTTCCGCCCTCCGTCTGCGGGGTCTTGATGCCTATTGCTTCCCAAGCAAGCTGTCGCACCCGCTTTATCAAGTCAGCTGTTTCTTTATCTCGTATAACCTCATGCGTTCTTGAGTCATGCACTTGTCTGAGGAGGAGAGTTGTGTTAGTGTTATAAGAGCGATGAACTGCCATCAAGCTTCTTAGCCCACGTACCTCACACCTTTACCACTCAGCCACACCTCACACACTTACCTCTTAGCCACACCTCACACCTTTACCACTTAGCCACACCTCACATACTTACCTCTTAGCCACACCTCACACCTTTACCACTTAGCCACACCTCACACCTTTACCACTTAGCCACACCTCACACCTTTACCACTTAGCCACACCTCACACACTTACCTCTTAGCCACACCTCACACCTTTACCACTTAGCCACACCTCACATACTTACCTCTTAGCCACACCTCACACCTTTACCATTTAGCCACACCTCACACCTTTACCACTTAGCCACACCTCACACACTTACCTCTTAGCCACACCTCACACACTTATCACTTAGCCACACCTCACACACTTATCACTTAGCCACACCTCACACACTTATCACTTAGCCACACCTCACACACTTATCACTTAGCCACACCTCACACACTTATCACTTAAGTCATACCTCATAACTATAAAAAAAACACAACACACATAGCAATGAAAGTGATTGACATAAACAGTGATATTGGTGGCAGCGGTGGGATGGTGATTAAAACAGAATGAACGGGGCTTGAATCTATCCATGGCACGTGAGTCCTGAAACTGTTCTAAAACTAACAGACCTAAAACTCTAAGAACGTATGAACATAAGAAACAAGGAACACTGCAGCAGGCCTACTGACCCATGCAAAGCAGGTCCATGTCCCCCCCCCGCATTAGGCCACTGACCCACCTAGTCAGGTCACTTCCACTTAAGGAAAGAGCACACCATCCTGTCATGGATTTGATCCCTACCCATTCTGTGATATTTTTGCTATCGTGTTATTACGTTGTCATGAGTGGGATATTACTCCGTCCTGGATCAGGGGCGGCCACAGTGATGGAATCTACTTTCTCCAAAATTTGTACCATACGATCCACTACAATAAGAGTCCTCCTCTCCGTCAACCCCCTATTAGCATATAGTATTGGAACTTTGATAATAGATTACACACATTGGAAGTTTTTCTTCATAAAATGTAAGCCGCATTCTGCTCATTAGGACAAAAAGTACCTTACACAATATATATATATAAATATTTTATATATATATATATATATATAAAATATATATATATATATATATATTATAAATATCCTAGGTAGTAGGGGGTAGACAGCAACCCCCCCAGGGAGGTACTACCGTCCTGCCAAGTGGTGTAAAACGAAAGCCCTGTAATTGTTTTACATGATGTTTTGATTGCTGGTGTCCTTTTTTGTCTCATGAACATGCAATTTTTTCAGGTACGTCTTGCTACTTCTACTTACACTTAGGTCCCACTACACATACATGTACAAGCACATATATACACACCCCTCTGGGTTTTCTTCTATTTTCTTTCTAGTTCTTATTCTTGTTTATTTCCTCTTATCTCCATGGGGAAGTGGAACAGAATTCTTCCTCCGTAAGCCATGCGTGTTGTAAGAGGCGACTAAAATGCCGGGAGCAAGGGGCTAGTAACCTCTTCTCCTGTATATATTACTAAATGTAAAAGGAGAAACTTTCGTTTTTCCTTTTGGGCCACCCCGCCTCGGTGGGATACGGCCGGTGTGTTGAAAGAAAGAAAGATATATATATATCTCAGTCCACAGCAGGATTCGAACCTGGAGGATTTGATGAAATAACTTATCAGTAGCCTGGTGTCCCGGAGTACGGGAGTGACCGTCTAGGTTTGGCTAGGCGCCATTGCTTTTTCTTGGATCCGGTTGAATGGGGAAGGTATTGTGTACTTTGATACAGTGTATGCTGGTTCGAATCCTGCTGTGGACTGAGAGAAGCGCTGAAACTAATCGAGCCAAAGAGCACAAGTGGAATAGAAGCTAAATAGAACTGATCCAAGGGAACAGTAGTTCCAGTTCCATGGATCAGGAGCTACAGGTATCAAAACATGTGTGGGGCCTCACCTGCTGATGGGTTCGTGAGAGTGATGATGCTTCCGCTGAGAAAAGAGCATCAGTAAGAACATTAGTGGAGCACAGAGCACAGCCATACACGCTGGTGACCTCACTCGAAGCACTGGTGAGAGGATGCCATTATCAGGGTAGTGATTGTGGTGGGTATTAAGAGGCAGGTAAGTGCCTGGCTCACGAAATCGTAATGACACGATTGCCAACAAACCATACCACGGGTGGGGTTAGAGCCCGCGATCAGAGAGTAACAAAACCCTCTGATCGCGGGTTCTAACTCCACCCTTGGTATGGTTTCTAATGGTTTAGAAAGACACGTAAGCAAACACTATAACATATTTATTAGAAAACGTTTCGGTCCTGGGACCTTGATCACTTCTGGGTCCCAGGACCGAAACGTTTTCTAATAAATATGTTATAGTGTTTGCTTACGTGTCTTTCTAAACCAACTTGTCGGTATTTATTACCAAGGTTTATACCATGGTTTCTAATAACATATTCATTTTCCCACTATAATCTACCTCGTCTATAATTACTACCGCATTTGCTTTGTTTCGTAAGGTGAAGTCTACGATCTTTCCTTAATTCATGGTATAACAACAAATTATCGAGGATAATTGTATTGCAGTGGTAGATTATAGTGGAAAAATGAACATGTTATTAGAAGACGGGGGAGCTTATGTGACCCTTAAAGTGGTGGTGGTGAACGTGGTAGTGTTTGTGATAATGGTGGGGGGAGGGGCTGTGGTGGGGTGAAAATCATTTATGGATTGTGATGTACTGATTCTCGTGGTGATGTAGTACTGTTATGGTGACTGGTGATGTGGTGACTTCATTATATAGGTGTTGATTGTACTTATATGATGATTGTAGAGATTGTGGTGGTAGTGGTGATTGTAGAGTCTGTGGTGGTAGTGGTGACTGTACAGTCTGTGGTGGTAGTGATGATTGTAGAGTCTATGGTGGTAGTGATGATTGCAAAGACTGTGGTGATAGTAATGACTGTAGTGGTGTGATGATGTAATTGCAATGCGATTTTGGTGATAATGACAACAACAATCAATCATAACAGTAATTTACACTGCAAACAACAATGATGAATAATTATATACTTGCAGGAGTGTCAGCATATTTCAAATACACTAGCCGAGATGCCTCGGACTTTTCAAGTGCCTTTTTGTCAGCATAGTTTGAACCAGCTATGACGCTGTACCCTGCCGTGAGGCTGGGTATCATGAGGACGTACCCTGGCCAGTCAGTTTCGTACACTCAGTCAGTCACAACATCGGACTTCAGGCTGGACGTCCTGCTACTTATAAACTCAATATACTAGTACAACACTCAGTGAGTTATCATTCATCATCACTCCACTTAAGAACCCTTACGATAGGAGTGTTAAACACGTTGGAGTCATACAGTGCCTGGAGAAAGAGGAGGCACTCAAGTTCGAGTCAAGGAAGAACAAACAGGATTCGTTGAATCAAACGCTTCTCACCAGCATCAAGGCACCTTCCTCGAGTGGTCTCTGAAGACGAACAGCACAGTGTACAGGAGATGGGTGTCGGCCACTTATATAGTCTCAGTAAAAAAAAAAAAACACGGAACGGGTAGGGTTCGAACCCATTGCGAGTAAATCCTAAGACTTATAGGCCAGTCTCAGTAACTGTCATTGTGAGGATGAGGGAGATACAAAATGAAGCATAGGAGAGGAGAGTGGAGAGAATGAGATGTGTAAGTGAGAAGAGTGCTCGTGGTCAGAGAATCCTGTACAGTTTTCCTTTCAGTTGTGTTAGTCGTAGCATCTGTCTTCAGTTATATCTACCAGTCTTTCCATATATTTTATCCTCTATGCCAGCTTATTCATTCTTCCATCCCACTTGTCTTAAGCTTTGTCCATATACCTCTTGTTATGATCTCTCAGGACTGCTCTCTGTCTTCTTATTTATTGTCTCCTCCTCTCCTGGCTCCTCATTTGGATTCATTGACTGTTTTCTCTCTCAGAAGGAACACAATAATAATAATAATAATAATAATAATAATAATAATAATAATAATAATAATAATAATAATGTGTTTCCTGGGCTGGTGAGAAAATCATTATTACATACAACATAAAGTACTGACTTAATTATTATTATTGTTATAATCAAGGGGGAAGCAATAAACCCGTAGGAATATATAGCGCCTGGGGGGGGGGATGTGGAAGGTACGTATTCAGGTTTAATTCAGAGAACTGGAGCATATATCCACTTCCCTAGATCAAGAACCCCTCACCAGCATCAAGGAACATTCCATGAGGAGTAGTCTTAATGCCATGACTAAACTTACGTCTGCGGAAAAACACCATGACGTAATGTGTGGGTGCTTCTGAAGCAGTCGTCCAGATACGACCACTGTGTTGCCTCCAGGGAAACAGTCCTCCAGATACGACCACTGTGTTGCCTCCAGGGAAACAGTCCTCCAGATACGACCACTGTGTTGCCTCCAGGGAAACAGTCCTCCAGATACGACCACTGTGCTGCCTCCAGGGAAACAGTCCTCCAGATACGACCACTGTGTTGCCTTCAGGGAAACAGTCCTCCAGGTACGACCAATGTGTTGCCTCCAGGGAAACAGTCCTCCAGGTACGACCACTGTGTTGCCTTCAGGGAAACAGTCCTCCAGGTACGACCAATGTGTTGCCTCCAGGGAAACAGTCCTCCAGATACGACCACTGTGTTGCCTCCACAGGAGTAACAGCCTTACAAATAAGAAAGCAAAATGCTCTTCAAATAGTGATATGCTCCTGCTTGCATAAATATTTCGTCTATAATAATGCTCTTAATCTATAAAAAAAAATACAAAATTGAATTTATAGACAAAGTTATTACCATACCTCAGCTCAGGTCAAAGTTTAACCATGTCTAAGTCATACAATCATACACCTATTTACTGCTAGGTGAACAGAAGCAGCAGGTGTCGCGAGACTTGCTCACCTATCTCGTTTCGTCCTCGACTGAACATCTGTAACGCCGGACATTATCCTCACAATAAGTATCTAATGTTCTGCAGTTTACAAGTGCACTTCTGCATGTAACAAGTCTCAGGATGTAGAGTAACACTATATCATACACTGCTACCATATATTACAACCACTGCAGTAACCACAGTCATTGCTACTCACAACAACTACTGCAACTATCAACAACTACTGCCACTAACACGCAACTACTGCAACTATCAACAACAACTACTACCACTAACACAACAACAACTACCACTAACACAACAACAACTACCACTAACATAACTACCACTAACACAACAACAACTACCACTAACACAACAACAACTACCACTAACATAACAACTACCACTAACACAACAACAACTACCACTAACACAACAACAACTACCACTAACATAACAACTACCACTAACACAACAACAACTACCACTAACACAACAACAACTACCACTAACAAACAACTACCACTAACACAACAACAACTACCACTACACACAACAACTACCACTAACAAAACACTACCACTAACACAACAACAACTACCACTAACACAACAACAACTACCACTAACACAACAACAACTACCACTAACACAACAACAACTACCACTAACACAACAACTACCACTAACACAACAACAGCTACCACTAACACAACAACAACTACCACTAACACAACAACAACTACCACTAACACAACAACTACCACTAACACAACAACAGCTACCACTAACACAACAACAACTACCACTAACACAACAACAACTACCACTAACACAACAACAACTACCACTAACACAACAACAACTACCACTAACACAACAACAACTACTACCACTGTGAATAAAACCGTCACAGAACAAGCTTCTACTGGGACATCGTTAAATCTGGTAGGCCTTTTACTAAATCCTTTTCTTTCCCACAGTTTCCAACAGTCTGTTATTCGGATGCATATGCTAACATCGCTATTACCACTAACATCACCACTAACATCACCACTAGCATCGCCACTGCCACTAACATCACTAACACGCCACTACGTGGTTCTTGTACACAGACTGACCTTGTGTTGCAGTACCTGTAGTGTGAGAGGTTCTCACTGTTATCTGCAGTGGGAGAGGGGTTGGTAGGTGGTGGAGAACAAGTAGAATGGGGAAGGAAGCGGTGGCGGTGGTGGTGACGGTGGTGGTGGCGGTGGTTACCTGGAGGTTACCTGGAGGTTATTCCGGGGATCAACGCCCCCGCGGCCCGGTCCATGACCAGGCCTCCCGATGGATCAGGGCCTGATCAACTAGGCTGTTACTGCTGGCCGCACGCAGTCCAACGTGGTGGGTGGCGGTGGTGGTGGCGGTGGTGGTGGTGGCGGTGGTGGCGGTGGCGGGGTGGCGGCGGTGGTGGTGGCGGTGGTGGTGGCGGTGGTGTGGTGGCGGTGGCGTGGCGGTGGTGGCGGCGGGTGGTGGTGGCGGTGGGTGGTGCGGTGGCGGTGGCGGTGGCGGTGGCGGTGGCGGTGGCGGTGGCGGTGGTGGTGGGTGGCGGCACTACTACTGCATAATACCGGTCACCACACCCCCGTTCTGTCTTCTGACCTTCTCTGCCTTTTTCCCCGTTCAAGTGTAACTTGACACTGGTCGAGGGCGGAAGATGAGGAAGGAGGGGAGGGTGAATAAGATGGGGAGGGTGAGGAAGGAGGCGAGGGTATGGAGGGGAGTGTGAGTAAGGAGGGGAGGGTGAATATGGAGGGGAGGGTAAGGAGGGGAGGGTGAGGAAGGAGGCGAGGGTATGGAGGAGAGGGTGAGTTAGGAGGGGAGGGTAAGGAGGGAAGCGTGAGTATGGAGGGGAGGATGAGTAAGGAGGGGAGGGTGAATATGGAGGGAAGGGTGAGTAAGGAGGGGAGGGTGAGTAAGAAGGGGAGGGTGTGTAAGGAGGGGAGGGTGAATAAGGAGGGGGTGAATAAGGAGGGGGAGGGTGAGTAAGAAGGGGAGGGTGAGTAAGGAGGGGAGGGTAAGGGAGGGGAGGATGAGTAAGGAGGGGAGGGTGAGTAAGGAGGGGAGGATGAGTAAGGAGGGGAGGGTGAGTAAGAAGGGGGAGGGTGTGTAAGGAGGGGAGGGTGAGTAAGGAGGGGAGGGTGAGTAAGGAGGGGAGGGTGAGTAAGGAGGGGAGAGTGAGTAAGGAGGGGAGGGTGATGTAAGGAGGGGAGGGTAAGGAGGGGAGGATGAGTAAGGAGGGGAGGGTGAGTAAGGAGGGGAGGATGAGTAAGGAGGGGAGGGTGAGTAAGAAGGGGAGGGTGTGTAAGGAGGGGAGGGTGAGTAAGGAGGGGAGGGTGAGTAAGGAGGGGGAGGGTGAGTATAAGGAGGGAGGGTATAGGTGGGGAGGATGAGTAAAGGAGGGGAGGGTGAGTAAGGAGGGGAGGATGAGTAAGGAGGGGAGGGTGAGTAAGAAGGGGAGGGTGTGTAAGGAGGGGAGGGTGAGTAAGGAGGGGAGGGTGAGTAAGAAGGGGAGGGTGTGTAAGGAGGGGAGGGTGATTTAAAGAGGGGAGGGTGAGTAAAGCATTAGTTTCTGAACACAACATATAGTTACACAAGTGGTGTGCTGCTGCTCTACACATACATAGTAGAGACAGGTTTATCTTTCATATATACCACACACACAGTAACACACACATACACACACACACACACACACACACACAATATATATATATTTTATAATATATATATATATATATAAATATAATATATATATATATTAATATTTTTATATATATTATATATTATGTATATATAATTACACACAGATATTTACATATATGCATACAAGTGTGGCATCACTAGCCTGCTAATGACTGCCGGTTAACTTAGGGTGGAGAATGAGAATATCCTCAAGCACCACAAAGCAGCCAGTGTTCACACAGGTCTAAGTAGACCGTTCCATGAGCCCTAAAGTCACAGTCAACTGGGTACTCAACTATATGATGGCTCATGTACCTCCCCCTTTTTCACAGAGTTTTCATATAGACTAAGTAGGGATGGGAGGTTTGTGGTAACACACATCTGCCACAGGTGACGGTATATTAATCTTATTCTGGCAGTCGCCGTGTCACAAAATCTAGTGGATTTTTTTTTTTGCTGTCTATATACACAATGTTCTTGATAATGGTACTTGCAAGTCTCTGGGTAGTGTATATTTTCGCGTCTACCGGAGCTGATATCCTTCAGCAGGATGGTTTTAAGACTGGAAATCAGGATGCCTGGTTGTAACTGCACCTCCGACCTGTCAGAAGCAGACTTAACTTCTTCACCAGTGTCAACATGATATCTGACTCCTATGTGAAGGTATGTTGACAAATAACACATGAAAACTTTGCCCTGGGCATTGTTCCGGCAATTTTCTATGTTATGAAGTTACTAGTGCGTATTCTTAAACTAGGACTCACAAGTGCTTGAAGAGGAGCTTGCAGTCACAGAATATTACACCTCGTGTTTTTTAACATGTTTATAGAAAACTTCAATGTATTTAACATATCTTGGGATTTTGATACAGGGTATTCTTCAACACTTGCATATAACCTACTTCCATTAGTAGATTTTTTCACTGGTGTCTCCGCCTCTTGTTGCTGCAGCTCGCTTGTCTTCAGTATATAAGCCACTTCTCCGCGCATATGCTCTACTTTTCTCTTGATTAAAGTACTGAACACATCGACTGTAGGCTGAGGGACTGATTACTTCAAACTCCTAATCTTCCATCGTTCTTCTCTATACTGAACTAAAGAAGCCACTGGCTCACCAGACTTTTCCCCAATAAACATTCCCAAATGTCCCACAAATGTTTCATTCTTCAGCTCTGCTCGTGTTCAGCTGAGCCAGGTGTTCAGTCTGTTACTAATCTTCAAAGACTTTTTACCTGAGTGTTTGTGTAGGCTGCTGCAGTGCGGCTTGTACCTGACTGAACTGAGCCGGCAGTGTAAGCCAGATGCGGAGGGAGGGAGGAAGGGAGGGGGTAGAGGTGAGGGGGGTAAGAAAAGCAACGGAGGTAAGGTTTGAGAGAAAAGTGTTAAATGGGGAGGGGTGGAGGATAGGAAATATTTATACCATAAACAAGATCGACGAATGTGAGTGATAATGAGACACTTTGTAAACAATATCAGTTAGGTGATTTCCGACACTTAGATGCTTCCAGGACTGGAGTGTCGTCTTACACAAGACTGGAATGTTGTCTTACACAAGACTGGAATGTCGTCTTACACAAGGCTGGAGTGTTATCTTACACAAGACTGAAATGTCGTCTTACACAAGGCTGGAGTGTTGTTTTACACAAGACTGGAATGTCGTCTTACACAAGACTGGAATGTCGTCTTACACAAGACTGGAATGTTGTCTTACACAAGACTTGGAATGTTTGTCTTACACAAGACTGGAATGTTGTCTTACACAAGACTGGAATGTTGTCTTACACAAGACTGGAATGTTGTCTTACACAAGACTGGAATGTTGTCTTACACAAGACTGGAATGTCGTCTTACACAAGACTGGAATGTTGTCTTACACAAGACTGGAATGTTGTCTTACACAAGACTGGAATGTTGTCTTACACAAGACTGGAATGTTGTCTTACACAAGACTGGAATGTTATCTTACACAGGATATAACATTCCAGGAGGCACTGGCATTGACTTATACAGGACTGGAGTATTTTCTTACTCAAATATAATATTTCAGAAACACTGCAGTTTTCTAACACATTTTGTCGGGCTGCGGCCGACTGGACTCTGCTGACAAAGTTACCTATTTTTACTACTAACTGGACAAGAAATCGAACTCGGGACCTTGCTATTGCGAGTTGTAAGCTCTCTCCAGTGAGCTAAGAAGCACCACTACTGTGAGGGGGGGCGTCAACCCCAGCTGGGTGAGGCAAAATAGGGGCAGGGCAGGTGAGAAATAAAATCATTCCCCCCAGCAACCACTATTAACCCCTCCCCCACAACCACTACCTCCTCCCCACAATTATTTATAATTATAATTATGGGGGAGCGCTAAATCCGTAGGATTATACAACGCACGTATGGGGGAGGGGAATGGAAGATATTCAGGATCAGTTTATGGAACTGGTCCCCTCACGGAAGGTTCCTTGAAGTTGGTGAGGGGTTCTTGATTTAGGGAATTGGATCTGTGCTCCAGTTCCCCGAATTAAGCCTGAATGCCTTCCACATCCCCCCCGGCGCTGTATAATCCTACGGGTTTAGCGCTTCCCCTTGATTATAATAATAATAATGGAACTGGAGCACAGATCTAATTCCCTAGATCAAGAGCCCCTCACCAGCGTCAAGGAACCTCCCTCGAGGGGCCCCTCCCCACAACACCTGTTTCACTTATGTGTTTTTAAATTAATTACATGCAAGTGTTGGCTATAAACACCTGCGTTTGCTTTCACCTTCCCCCTCCTCTCTCCCTTTATACATTAAAACTTGAATTTTGATTTATAGACCTGTAAAATCTTCCTTTTAACACTCATAAATATATTTTACCACTTATTATATTTATGATATCTGTTCGAAATTCTTGGTATCTTATTTTCCTTATTAAATTATCTGATTATATTTCAACGGTTCATGAATTTTCTAATCTATTTTCATTAATATTTATGTAGTTAAGGATAACTGCGTGTTTTATGTAACTACCATAATTTTTAAAGGGTTGGACTGGTAAGCCAGCGGAAGGCCTCGGTCAGATGACCAGAAGCTCTATTCTGAACCTTACGATAAAGATATATTTCATTGTTTATTATTAAATTATTGTAAACTTATCTAAAATATATTTAGCTGGATTAGGCTAAATTAAATTGTACTTGTTATAATTAGGTTAGGTAAGTTTTCTAAGGTTCTTTTGGTACAAAATTTTTATTTTTGCATTAACATAAATGAAAAAAAATATATCTCTAAATGTATAAGAGAAAATTTAGAAAGGACTTAATTTTGAAAGAGTTCTTGCTAATTGACCAGTTTTACCTATTCAGCACGAAGATCTAATAATAATCTATATATATTATATATAAGAATATATATTATATATTATTATTAAATTATTATAAATATATATAATATATATATGATATATAAATGAAAAACCACTCTGAAAAGATTAGAGTAATTCCAAGGCTTTCGGTACAACTACATTATCAAAGAAAATATTCCTGTAAATGTAGTAGTCACGAAAGCTTGGAAAGATCTTAATTCTTTCAGAGTGGTTGCTTTGCATATTCTAATCACCGTTTATTGTGATTATTGATATATATATATATATATATATATATATATATATATATATATATATATATATATATATATATGTCGCAAACAGGCAATCTTAACAATGCAAAACAAAATTAAGCTGAAGATCTTTCGATCTCTCTTGCGTCATCAGGAGCTATACAAACTTGCAAGACTAGCAGCAGATAGGAGGGAAAATCAGTGTCTGCTGATATTACCTTTATGATAATTGTACTAATTAAAAAATGCTAGATTATTTGACCAATTAACACGTGCTAGTCTTAGATAATATATGCAGAGGCAATCACCTCAGGAATAAAACACAAAGTGTCTTGGTTTTATTGCCAACAATTTTGTTAAGTAATCGTCAAGGGACATCATATCTACATTGAGTCGATGGATATCCTGTGTCATATACAAGCAAAAATAAAGATACTCGTAATCTGTGCTGAAGAGATTGCTCATCTAAAGCTGCTAGAGTAAGGCTTCAGATTTTCCGGGGTACCAACGAAAGTATTATCACATGTAAATTGTGAGTTCATTACCTCTGTAACTTGCTCAGCTATCAAAACTTTGGAGTCCAGTCCCTGGACCAATTATGTACCTCTGTAATCTTTTGACTACCGCCCACAGGATGGGTATGGGGTGCATAACAAACATATTAAACTAACATGTTTAATGTTAAAATCGAGTGTGCTTGACTTTCGGAGTGCTTGATTTATTTATTAGCATATGGGGACACAGTGCTTCAATACCTCGGATGGGAGTATCGTTCAGCACCTCTCCAGCGCATGGGAATCATTCAGTAGTGAAGGCTCGATCCTCCATGCACCAATTCGAGACAGATTCACTGCTTATCTCTACTGCTAACTTTTGTGGTTGTCTTCAGTGTGGGAGAATTTTTTTATTCCCTCCCAACCGTAGCGTCTCTTGTCTTCACTAGTCTCTGTCATGAATGCCTTCTGCCCATAGAAAAGCTCCACAGAAGGATTCCCAGTGTAGAGGAACTCTGTCTGGACGTGAGGGACGTGAGCGAGGTGGGCCACAAGCCCCGTGGTGAAGACATCTTCCAGCCATAGGAAGGGGGTTTGGGCCACGTACTTCAGTAACCTCCTAACGGCGTGTGCACCCACAATATAGGCAGGACCTAGCACGAAGGGTGGGAAGATGTTCTCCGGGTACTCCTCCTGAAGAAAAGTTAAGAAGGTTAGTGGCTTGTGCAGCAGGTGAAGTAGGTAAATATAAGTGATCTTATGAATAACGTTTACCTCGGTAGATTTGATTTTTCGCCGCTGGCGCTACAAGTGTACGGACACAAGCTGAGATTATTATTGTAATTGTATTTACGTAAAGAACTAAATGCATGCGGACCATTCAGTGTTAAAGATTCGATTATCCGTTCGTCTTATACACTTAGAACCACCCAAAGTGCAGAGAATTAGACAGCAATCTCCACAAGCTACTGCTATACACCTGCATGCAAGAATAAGGTTACTGTCTGACAATTACCACAAGGAGGACCGAATCTTCACCACTCCTAAATGACCTATTCAAGTGTAGTTTCCTAAAACATAATATCCCACAAGCTTGTGTATATCAGTGGTTCAAACATGGAATTAATTTGCATAAGCAATCAAACTTAAAAATATTGCTTATAGTTACTCACTATAGCGAGACTCCACTTGCCTCTCCTGTGAGGGGACGAGCGAGTCTGTAACCTGCCGTAGATGTAGTCAGTGGGTGTGAGAGACAGTGATCCATCATCACTGAGGCTTCCAGTGGAGTTGACGCTCTTGGTAAATGTAACAAAGAAAACGGAATTCAAGCGTAGCAAAAACACTGGATGCAGTCACAACAAAGAAAGTGGGATGCGTTCATTACTCATGAATAATAATCATAATAATAATTATGACAAGGGTAACATTACTGTTATTCTTTTGCAATTCATAATAATAACACCTAAAGCTTATGTAGTTACTACCTGAAGACGGTAAGATACACATACACTGGGAAGTATTTATCTCTCAAATCACAGGACATAAACACTGAGAGGTGTATTTCTCTCAGCGTATATATAATGAATTTACTGTAATTCCTGTTTTAAGGATTAAAGTATTCTTGTCTGGTGGTGTAAAGGTCACCGTTCAGCCTTATTATTAACACCCTTGTAGCCAACACCTTTTCAACGCCATGAACCTACCATAACCATCTCTTAATGGTTAATGGTGCCTGTGCTATGGAATAAAGCTTGCTTAGTATTAATGTACATGTGAATTAAACCTTTGATGACTTTTTTTGTAGTGGCTAAGCTTTAAAGAACCTGATTCATCAGAGAACGAGCAACGATTGGCAGACGGAGGATCGAACCTGCACCGCTCCTTGCCTCTCAGTGACCCAAAGTTCTGTTAATGATTCAAAATCACTTATTAAGTGATTTCATTTATATAGGTAAAACTTGCGATTTATTCTTGTCGAATAAGGCAAGCGAAAATTTGTGCATGCAATAATTTCGCAAAATCATTCTGAACCTAACGAAAAATATATATTTCATTGTGTTTGTTTATTATTAAATTATTGTAAATTTATCTAAAATATATTTAACTGGATTAAGCTAAATTAAATTGCACTTGTTATAATCAGTTTAGATAAGTTTTATAAGGTTCTTTTGGTACAAAATTATTAATTTTTACATAACATAAATAAAAAAAATATATCTTTAAACATATAAGATAAAATTTTAGAAAGGACTTAATTTTAAATGAGTTCTTGCTAATTGACCAGGTTCACCTACTCAGCACGACATAACCATTCAACTACTAGGTTGAGCGGTGAAATGAGCAATATAACTTACCAAACTCAGCTGCTGGTTACTACTCGAGGTCGATAAACGAGGTGGAGAGGCAGGGTGTCGTTACTCGCTGGAGTCTTGGGGGTAGTGACAGAGAACAGACCACGTAGATATTTCCCCAGACAGTAGGGGTTGACTAACACATCGTCGTCCACCTTAGCGATGAAGGGAACATGTGTGCAGTGTTGGGACACCCACGACAACCACGAGATGGCTTTGTAAGTAAGATTCCTGTAGAGGAAGAGGGAAGCAGAGCTAGACTGATGGTGTGTCACTGGTGGTAGTGGTGAGTTATGAAGCGGTGGCGTGTATGGTCGAAGTAAGGTTGATTGTGGGGTGGTGTTTGAGGCGAGGTAGTTAAGAGCGGAGTTGCAATGTTCTGTAGTAGTAGTGACGAGGTAGTCAGGATCAGTGAGGCTGTTTTAGATAAAGAAACTGGAACAATAATTCAGTTTGTTCCATGACGGAGCCAGTGCGGGACATAGTTATGACTGTCAAAGTACGGAGACACCACATTCACCCTCGGTCCCTCGCTCACCTGTAGGAGTCGACGAAGGTGTTCTGAATAAGATCATGGAACAAGGCAGCCTCCGTGTCGAGGGCGTCCTGCAACTCAGCGTCCTGCGTCAGTCCTACTACGAAGAGCACCCTGAGGAGGAGCCAACGGTCACCCAGGAACCAGAGGACATAAGAGTACTCGTAATATTTCCAATTCCATCCCTCCCCCTTTCCTAGGAATATAACAACTGTACACAACTACCTTTCCGCCATGTTGCTATTACACAGAATAAGGTAAGCCGCACACTGAGCGTGTGTTTAAGGTCATTCATTAATAAATCTATTTTATCGCTTTCCTCAATTTCTGTATTATCTCTTTCCCTGACCTTCCTTTTAGCACCTCCGTTAGACTCTACACTAGCCACTCCCTATCTAACCTTCTTTTCAATCCTCTTTCTTATCTTTTCTAATTGCCTTTAACCTCTTGATTAATAAGACAGGTGTGTAACACTTGGCTATCTTTACTTCCGTAATATATCTTAGCCTCTTTCTTACCGTGTCTTCCTATGGTGTGTTAAGTAAAAGGACACAAATGCAACTAATGTGACATTTTATTTTGGCAACGTTTTGCTCCCCAGGAGCTTTATCAAGCCGTTACCTTGATAAAGCTTGATAAAGCTCATGGAGAGCGAAACGTTGCCACAATAAAATGTCACATTAGTTGCACCTGTGTCCTTTTACTTAACATATTGTGGCTAATTCTACCAATATTAATACAGTCTTCCTATGGTACCTACCCTCAGGTCTATCCTATCATCCACTCTTACTCCTCATCTGTATCATAAACAGAAATATGGTAAACAGAAGATGGGGTTTAAGCTCATAGGAAATATCTCGTACGCTCTTTAGCAAGAATCTGAGACAGTGCCTTTAGATCTTCGGATAAAGGGCCCTTCACCAGCACCAAGGGGTCCCCTTTGGAAGGGCTGCCAGAGTCCTCACTTGAGTCCTGTCCTGGGGTAGAGTGCTGGATGAGCCCAGGTGCTCCTGATGAAGTTCCTGCCTCGTCTGTTGCCTGGAGCTGAGGGCACCAGTGCCAGCACCAGGGGCTGGGAGCTGCCGTCGTGGCACGGTGTCGCCTGGTTCAGTGGGTGCCGCCACCTCACGTGCTCAGGGATGAGGTTCACCTTAGGTGCGGTGAGGTTCACCTTAATCTTGCCATGAATGAACCTGAAATAACACCCACTATTGAAGTATTTAGATTACGCTCAATTTTCCACTTAAAATGTAGTTTAGAGAACATAATTTTTACTATAAATTCCTGACATTTAGACCATTCTGGACAAACTGCTATCACTGACAACCTGACTAGTCAGAACCTGGGCTGAAATTAATGGACGGAGGAGCGAGCATCAACAAATACACAAAAGTATTAAGTACAATCCCTCTACCTTAATATATAAACAGTAGCTACAAGCAGTATGTAAATAGGTAATAAGTATGTAAACAGTAGATAGTAACGATAGATGCATCGTACAAGAGGTATGTGATCAGTAAGGACATCAGGCAATAGGTACCATCTGCTTACATTCAGATTAATATTAGGTGAAGCCTTCCTCTTACCTGAAACCATTCGGTTTATCGATTAGTTTTGATTATAATAATAATACCTAAAACTTTCTATTTATTGGACTTAATCACCAGAAATCTCACAGGTGAATCTCGCAATAACTCGCGTAATAATACTTAAGCTCTGAAGAAAAAATTATCACTGACCTGAATCGCTGTTTGTGCATCTCTGAGAGGTTGTGGGATGGTGGTGTTGTGGTAATGGAACTGATGGTAGTGGTGCTGGTGTCAGCACTCGGCAAGTCAGACTCCCATACTCTGAGTGGGACGCCAACAATATTGTTACAAGAAGTCTGGGTTTATACTGTTATTGCACTAAATATAATAACAATAATCTGAAAGATCTGTGAGTCAGGTGAGTCCTCACCTGAGAAGGCTCACCTGAAGAGGGTTCACCTGAAGAGGGTTCACCTGAAGAGGGTTCACCTGAGATGATCGTGGTATCCATGGGGTGTAAGGGGCGTGGTAGGCGTGTTAGGCGTGGTAGCGTAGAAACTAAGCGTGAGGAATGCAGTCACAGCGTATGCAGCCGAGTGCCACATCGTGTGCCCCCCTCGCCTTCACCTACAACCACCAATTCACTCTTACAACATTATTACACAAATAGGTGTATACTATAACTACTACACTACTACCTACTACTACTAAACTACTACCCTACTACTTTCTAGCATAATATCTACGCAACTATACATTTACTATTAAAAATTAAGTCAACGATACAGTTTGCTTAGTAAATTAGTCTACATTGCAAAATACATGAACGGAAAATGTAAATCGAGTAAAAAAAGATAATTTCAAGAAGATAGACAGTTTTTAGATTGACTGTAGAAGGGAAATTATAAATGACTCAAGGTGGTCACTGTTGTTCCTGTGTGACATACACTGTATGTCACCTAGTTGATGGTGGGTTTTCGGTTAAAATGTTGTGTGGTGCCTTCAGGTTAACATGTGTCTTTCTACTGTATTTCTGCGTTTTGTGTAGCTCTGGTTGGAGTAAACTGTTAATCTTGACCCAGGTTAGTTGCTAGACTTTGATAGTTATGTCTGGACTCTGAGTACTTTAGTTATCTAATGAATAATCTACTTATAGGAGGGAGACACTGCTGTTGTGGGTTTAAAACATGTGCTGTTGGCGCTGTGGTTGTTGTGAGTCTTGTTGTTGACCCCCCACTAGCCAGGGCTGTGAACACCCACACACGATCAACAAAAAACAACACACACAAAACACACAATAACACAACACATGGACCGGAGCGAACATAAAAATAGGAAGTATCAACAATTTCCAAAATACCTCTTTAAAATAACAGAAGTGGCATTTCAATGAATTCTGAAAAGTGGTACAGTACCTTGACCCCACGATGTACCTTGTAATATGTGGCTCATCCGTTATGTCGTGTTCTTCAGTACTGTGACTTTGGTTACTGTATGTTCCTGCAGTTATAGTGTATCTCTGGTTGTTGTGTAAACTGTAATCATAAATGACCCCAAAGGTTATTGCTTGACTCTGAAGTTATGGCTGGACTCTGTATTACTTTTAGATTAATCTAACCTTTAACTAACCTTATAGAGTGGACGACACTGCTGTTGTAGAGGATGTCATCACCATGGCTGTTGCTGTTGTTGTTGTGAGCTCCTCTGCTGGACCCCCCACTCTACCAGGGAGCTTTCACACACACACACACACACACACACACACACACACACACACACACACACACACACACACACACACAGGCCAGGAGCTGCAACCAAAAAATAGGTGAGTACTCACACACACTTCCCACACAACTCCTCTACACAACAGGCCAAGTGGCTTTCGACAAGTGCATTTGAAAACTAGTAACTAACTACAACTACAGCTACACTTTGACACTCAGGAGGGCCCATCCTTCGCATCTTCGACTGTGACTATCTTCGGTACTTGAGTCACCAAGTTTTTCGTGTTCGAGGCGAACAGCTTCGACACTTCGAAGATGCTGTTTAACTTGTCACACTTTGACGGTATTAACTCTGACTCTTCAAAGGCATGAGCCTCGACACCAGGAAGTTACAGTATCAACTTCAAGATTCAGGAGCAGCTTTCAAGGTGACCTTTTTTCTGGCATTTCAGCCTGATGAACATTGACACTTTAAATGCCAAGAAACAACGCTTCGTGGTGAAAAAATCTGCACCTCTAAGTTCCTTAAACAGTATGTTATTAGAAGTGAGCAGCAGCGTAAGTGCCGAAGCCACAGGACGCAGGTTGTGTGAGAGTGACGACGAGAGTCATCGTCACAAGGGTGAACAACTCGTATGTGAATGCTCTACCACAGGTGTTCACTGTACACAGATATCGTTAAAACTGTGAATACATAATTCCCAGACTCTGTAACACATGTATGTATATGCATTATGCATACATGTATGATTATATATATGTATATGTATACACACACACACATACGGGTATACGAGTATACACTCTCTTAATTATTCTATTCTGCTCTATTGTCTCTAAAAGCCGGTACCACCTCAAACACACCTGCTATAATATTTCTATATTATAATTATGATAGACAGTCCTGGTTACGTCATGTTTGCATTATAGCTAAAAAAAAATTTGACCGCCCCACAAATACAATGATGAAGGAAGCAACGTTACCGTCACATATGGTGCGCTGTGTGACGTTACCGTCACATATGGTGCGTTGTGTGACGTTACCGTCACTCATGGTGCGGTGTGTGACGTTACCGTCACATATGGTGCGTTGTGTGACGTTACCGTCACTCATGGTGCACTGTGTGACGTTACCGTCACTCATGGTGCACTGTGTGACGTTACCGTCACTCATGGTGCGCTGTGTGACGTTACCGTCACATATGGTGCGTTGTGTGACGTTACCGTCACATCATGGTGCGGTGTGTGATTTACCGTCACATATGGTGCGTTGTGTGACGTTACCGTCACTCATGGTGCGCTGTGTGACGTTACCGTCACCCATGGTGCGCTGTGTGACGTTACCGTCACTCATGGTGCGTTGTGTGACGTTACCGTCACTCATGGTGCGCTGTGTGACGTTACCGTCACTCATGGTGCGTTGTGACGTTTACGTCACTTATGGTGCTGTGTATGACGTTTACGTCACTCATGGTGCGTTGTGTGACGTTACCGTCACTCATGGGCTTGGTGACGTTACGTCACTCATGGGAACGTGTTGTGACTTACCGTCACTTAGTGCGTTGTGTGACGTTACCGTCACACATGGCTGGCTTGTGTGACGTTACCGTCCACTCATGGTGCGTTTACGACGTTACGTCACTTGTGCCGTGTATGACGTTAATCAATCATGTGTTTGTGACTTATTGTCACTCATGGTGCGATTGTGTGCGTTACCGTCACTCATGGCGCTTGTACGTTACCGTCACTCATGGTGCGTTGTGTGACGTTACCGTCACTCATGGTGCGTTGTGTGACGTTATCGTCACTCATGGTGCGGTGTGTGACGTTACCGTCACTCATGGTGCGTTGTGTGACGTTACCGTCACTTATGGTGCGTTGTATGACGTTACCATCACTCATGGTGCGTTGTGTGACGTTACCGTCACTCACACATTGGTGACACTGCTTCGGAGGAGAAACACTGTATTGCCAACCCTTTAGTGGGTGAAGAGCTTTTGATCCAGCGACTCGGAGCTAGGCTCTCCTCAGCTGATTACCTCCGATTCTGCTGGTGCTATACGACCCTATGGGATTAGCTCTTCCCAGTGATAATAATAATAATAATAATTATAATTATTATTAATAAAAATTATTTCCACGAGGAAGTGGAGCAGAATTCTTCCTCCGTACGTCATGCGTGTCGTACGAGGCGACTAAAGTGCCGGGAGCAAAAGGTTAGTAACTTCCCTCTCCTGTATATATTACTAAACTTAAGAAGAGAAACTTTCGTTTTTCTTTTTGGTCACCCTGCCTCGGTGGGATACGGCTGATTGTTGGAAAACTAATAATAATAATAACTACAATAACAATAGCATTAATAACAAAACTAATAACAACAACAACATCACCACCACCACCAACTACAATAATAATGTTAATAATGATGATAATAATAGTCAATAATAACAAAGGCGTAGAGTACAGTTATACCAGAGGCTCAGTTCAGTAATAAGGTCCACTACTAGAAGTTCATCAGATGCTCACAATAGGAGTCGTCAGCTATAAAGCAAAAATAAAATCTCCCACGAAACGTTTGCCGCGAAATCTGGCTGTGCACACTAGAATGTGTAGATAATATCAAGTGTGTTCACCTCCATCAATCCACGGCAAGTTCTCAAGTTCTGAAGCTTGTAGGTCATTCAGTGGAAAGACTGATGGGAGTTCCATCCTCTGTCTTCAGATAGAGGAGGCATAAGAACATAAGAATGGAGAAACTCCTCAGCAAGTTACTGGCCCATACATGGCAGGGTCTTCTCAACATCAACCATTCCCACCCACCAATTTGTATAACCTCTTACCATAGCTACCCAAGAATTTGCTGTCTATTTGACCGCAGCCTGTCAGTGAAAACTTATACACTCCATTTGGCTTCATACACAGAATATAATACCTAATAGTCTTCAACCTCCAGCCTCCTCCCAGGCCTTAGCCCCCCAGCCTCCCCCCAGGCCTTAGCCCCCCAGCCTCCCCCCAGGCCTTAGCCCCCCAGCCGTCAGTCCCCAGCCTGTGGTACCAGCCCCTACGAAGTTTCTGGGATAAGTCACGAAATCTGCAGTGACCGTCCTTGTTCTCCTTGAGCTTCCAGCATTTCCGTACCTCAAGATGCTAGTGACATCTTGGGAGAAGGTGACCTCCATGGTGGTCATCCATCCACTTGTGTAGGAGTCTGATGATGATGATGGATTGATAATGGTAATGATGATGACGATGATGATTGATGATGGTAATGATGATGACGATGATGATGAAAATGAATTGTATAACTAATTGGGTGAGAGTGGCACAGATGTGTGGTAATCACAGATGCGATACCCGGTATATGGGTGGCATGCGTCGGGGTGCCAGGGGTAGGGGTGCCAAGGGTAGGGGTGCCAGGTGTAGGGGTGCTAGGAATAGGGGTGCAGGAAAGAGGTGATGGGGGGGGGAGGTGCGACATCAGTAGGGGTGCTAAGAGTGAGGGATCTGGTTAATACGTTTGCTTTTTCCGTCCTTTTATTCCTCACACCTTCCTCCATTTCCCTTGTTCCTCACCTCTCTCATCCTTGTATCCTCACCCTTCCCTCCTCCCTTGTCCTCAGCCTTCCCTCCTCCTGTTCTCACCTTCCTCCTCCCTTGTTCCTCAACCTTCCTCCTCCCTTGTTCCTCACCCTTCCCTCCTCCCTTGTTCCTCACCTTCCCGTCCCCTTGTTCCTACACACCTCCCTCCTCCCTTGTTCTCACCCTTGCCCTCCGTCCCTGTTCCTCACCCTTCCCTCCTCCCTTGTTCCCACCCTTCCTCCTCCCGTTGTTCCTCACCCTTCCCTCCTCCTTGTCCTCAGACCCTTCCCATCCTCATTTGTTTCCTCACCTTCCCCTTCCTTGTTCCTCACCCTTCCTCTCCATCCCTTGTTCCTCACCCTTCCCTCCTCCCTTGTTCCTCACCCTTCCCTCCTCCTTGTTCCTCACCCTTCCCTCCTCCTTTGTTCCTCACCCTTCCCTCCTCATTTGTTCATCACCCTTCCCTCTTCCCTTGTTCCTCACCCTTTCCCTCCTCCCTTGTTCCTCACCCTTCCCTGCTCCCTTGTTCCTCACCCTTCCCTCCTCCCTTGTTCCTCACCCTTCCCTCCTCCTTTGTTCCTCACCCTTCCCTCCTCATTTGTTCCTCACCCTTCCCTCTTCCCTTGTTCCTCACCCTTCCCTCTCCCTTGTTCCTCACCCTTCCGTCCTCCCTTGTTCCTCACCCTTCCCTCCTCCCTTGTTCCTCACCCTTCCCTCCTCCCTTGTTCCTCACCCTTCCCTCCTCCCTTGTTCCTCACCCTTCCCTCCTCCCTTGTTCCTCACCCTTCCCTCCTCCCTTGTTCCTCACCCTTCCCTCCTCCCTTGTTTCCTCACCCTTCCCTCCTCCCTTGTTCCTCACCCTTCCCTCCTCCATTGTTCCTCACCCTTCCCCCCTCCCTTGTTCCTCACCCTTCCCTCCTCCCTTGTTCCTCACCCTTCCCTCCTCCCTTGTTCCTCACCCTTCCCTCCTCCCTTGTTCCTCACCCTTCCCTCCTCCCTTGTTCCTCACCCTTCCCTCCTCCCTTGTTCCTCACCCTTCCCTCCTCCCTTGTTCTCTCACCCTTCCCTCCTCCCTTGTTCCTCACCCTTCCCTCCTCCCTTGTTCCTCACCCTTCCCTCCTCCTTTGTTCCTCACCCTTCCCTCCTCATTTGTTCCTCACCCTTCCCTCTTCCCTTGTTCCTCACCCTTCCCTCCTCCCTTGTTCCTCACCCTTCCCTCCTCCCTTGTTCCTCACCCTTCCCTCCTCCCCTGTTCCTCAGTTGTATGGGCCTCAACACCATCCACTGCTCCTCTGGTCTCCAACACCATCCACTGCTCCTCTGGCCTCCAACACCATCCACTGCTCCTCTGGCCTCCAACACCATCCACTGCTCCTCTGGTCTCCAACACCATCCACTGCTCCTCTGGCCTCCAACACCATCCACTGCTCCTCTGGCCTCCAACACCATCCACTGCTCCTCTGGCCTCCAACACCATCCACTGCTCCTCTGGTCTCCAACACCATCCACTGCTCCTCTGGCCTCCAACACCATCCACTGCTCCTCTGGCCTCCAACACCATCCACTGCTCCTCTGGCCTCCAACACCATCCACTGCTCCTCTGGCCTCCAACACCATCCACTGCTCCTCTGGCCTCCAACACCATCCACTGCTCCTCTGGCCTCCAACACCATCCACTGCTCCTCTGGCCTCCAACACCATCCATGCTCCTCTGGCTCCAACACCATCCACTGCTCCTCTGGTCTCCAACACCATCCACTGCGCCTCTGGTCTCCAACACCATCCACTGCTCTTCTGGCCTCCAACACCATCCACTGCTCCTCTGGCCTCCAACACCATCCACTGCTCCTCTGGCCTCCAACACCATCCACTGCTCCTCTGGTCTCCAACACAGACCTCTTGATATGAAGAGAAAAATCATCACCCATCTGAAGAGGATTTAAGGCCAGATCAGTATCCACGAGCCTTACATACTCATCAGCTCTCTCTCTCTCTCTCTCTCTCTCTCTCTCTCTCTCTCTCTCTCTCTCTCTCTCTCTCCTCTCTTCTCTCTCTCTCTTTCTCTTCGTAATCTCTCTCTCTCTCTCTCTTCTGTGATGTTTTACGTATTTAGCAGATCTATCCTAAATAATTATAACATTTCTAAATTTTATGCTAGAAACGGCCTCAAGCTTTCTCTTCTCTGGGCGACACACTGGGTGTTAGCTATACCTCCAGTCAGATAACTAGTAATATACATACTAGTAATAATCGATGAATTACCGACGTGACATTTTATTGTGGCAACGTTTCACTCTCCAGGAGCTTTGTGAAGCTTCCCATTACCTCGCCAGCTTTCCGAATACACGAGTATTTGCGACAGCGTAGTAAGCTGACCAGTGTGGTGTAAGTTGTGCTAGTTGTAAGAGTTGGTATGCAAGTCAAACAGGAATCAATTATGTCATGAAAGAGGAGCTTCGCCGAAGCTGATTGGCGGCTTCGATAACACTCACTGGCTGCTTCGATCCTTCTCATCGGCGGCTTCGATCCCACTCATTGGCGGCTTCGATCCCACTCATTGGCGGCTTCGATCCCTCGTGTCCTACAGTCCTTCTAACTGCTCGCATGAGATTACATTGTATATTAGCAGTGTATTAGTGCTCACCTCTTTGTAGTTATTTTGGTCGAGTCTGGGCTCCTGGCCAACTAGTCGACTACTGAAGAACGGTCACACTTTATTTTTCGCCTCACGGGTCAAGTCGCACCTACTCCTAAAACTGTGTATGGAACATGCTTTCATTAGTGCTTCATCCAGATCTTCAAACTTCATGACCACTCTCACACTGAAGATGTTTGAACTCACTTATCATTGGTTCAAATCTCACCCATTGTGTGGTGCAAACCGCAGCCCGGTTGGTCGGGTATTGACTGTAGGTGCCTGTCCAGCGCCTTCTTGAAGACAGCCAGTGGTATATTGGTAATCCTCCTTATGTATGCTGGGAGGCAGCTGAACAGTCTTGGGCCTCTGACACTTATTGTATTGTCTCTTAGTGTACTCAGGGAGCCCCTGCTTTTCACTGAGAGGATGTTGCACCGCCTGCCGAGACTTTTGCTTTCTTAGGGAATGATTTCCTTGTGCAGACTTGGAACTAGTCTCTTTCTCTAGGATTTTCTTGCCTGCGTTCAGAGGAGTACAGGTCAAGGGACTTCAGCCGTTTCCAGTAACTGAGGTGTTTTATTGTACTTATACGTGCAATTAAAGCTCTCTGTATATTCAGGTCTGCAATTTTGCCTACCTTGAAATTGATAAATTAGACACATGTGCAACTCTTGGGTATCTTTATTGAGGAAACGTTTCGCCACACAGTGGCTTCATCAGTCCAAACATGTCGGTTCTCTGAACCATTCATCTACAAATCTGTCAGACATTGCAACTTCTTGGGATCTTAATACTTAGGAATTCTTCGCTTGCCTAATTCTTGGGCACGACCTACTTCCACATTGAACAAATGTGACACTACCTATGACTGCTGCACCTCTCCTGCCATACGGTTTATAAGCTGCTTCTTCGCTGATATGCCGTATTCTATTCAAGATTGATGGACTGAACACATCGACTCAAGGTTGAGGGACTGATTACCTCATTCTCCTCCTGTTCTTCAAGTTTCTCCTACGTTTGGACTGATGAAGCCACTGTGTGGTGAAACGTTTCCTCAATAAAGATACCCAAGAGTTGCACATGTGTCTAATTTATCAACATGTCGGTTCTCTGAACCATTCATCTACCTTGAAATTGCAGACTTGTTATTACTTCTCGTGAGGCGAAGCAGGTCTTTTGCTCAGAGTCTTCGATCCACGTAACAAGCCTTCCTCTGATACCAAATCAGACTAAATGTTCAAAGGTCGGCTTTCCACTGACAGGATGAGCAAAACCAGACTGACATGGGATGGATAAGAACGATGGGACACACATGAAAGCTGACAGCCAGTTAAGTCGCTGACAATGAATCACATTTTTTTTTTCATTGCTAGGATAGTCTTGAAGCAGAGCGAGGTGAGGACCATAGAGACTGACAGCATAAAAGACATGGCTTTATCAGTCTATCGAAAAGGACACAAATCCAGGAGCCAGGGATCGACCCCTCCTCCCCAAATGCAGGGAGACAATTACACGCATACTATTAAATAAATAAATACCAAGCATGCGTCACTGTTCTTGGTAATAATAGTGTACATTGATTCTGTAACGTTGTTGAGCAGGCTACATGAGTACCAGGAAACTCGTGTTAACCCGACCATGACACTGCGTCCCACCTATTGTAAACTCCACCCCTATAGGTGACCCACTTTCAATACTTGAAACTAAAATAAACAGCGTTATGCGAAACCAAGATTAAAAGAACGCTCACATCACATGAAAACTAGGTCATAAAAGGGGAGCACATACAAAGAGTTGCAAGTTAGAGAAACTAGCGTGTTGATAATGAGTGTTGGGGTGGGTGTGAGGGCAGTAGCCAGCCAGCTGCCTTGGGACGAGGGGAGAGTTAGTCTAACTCGAGTTCACTCACACACGAGAGAGGTTCGCCATCTATATACCCCATCTTCTCTCTCTATCTCTCCCTCATGAACCATACAACAAACTATATATCCAATATTAAAACTAGATATCCTCTTAAGCATAATTTCGTTTATAGAATCGAGTGAGGTAACTATAGGCATAAGAGGATTAGACACAACGAAGTGATAAATAGTGAGAGATGGCCAGTGACAAGTGCTCCTGAACACTTCCACAAGACTTTAAGTTGTTTATTTGCAAGAGATAAGTGTCAGATAAACTACCTCGTCCTCAAGATGTTCCTCGCTGCCCTCTTCCTGGCCTCGTGCTCTGGTAAGTACTCTCACCTTGACGCCTCACCGGTATCAAGGAAGGTTCCTCGTGAGGCGAAGGTTCTTTGATACCGGTGAGGGTCTCTAATCTAAGGAATTGGACCTGACCTTCCTTTCCTCGACTCAAACCTGATAACCTCCCATTTCCCAGGCGGTGTATGACGGGCTTAGCGCTGGTACGTGAAAAATATTAAAAAGGATCTCGTAGCGTTGTAGATCTGCTAGATTTTGTCCACACAGTAGGTAGAGAAGTTGATAACAATTGTCATATATATATATATATATATATATATATATATATATATATAATATATATATATATATATATATATATATATATATATATATATATATAGTTCATTTTATAGTGTTGTGTGGAGGAGGAGTTGACTTTATAGCCAGTTGTCCAGGGGCGGGGCTCATTATGATGTCAGTTATGTAGATGGTAGTTTATTATGATGTCAGCTGTGCAGACGGGAATAATTTCATGTCACTTTGCGTATACAGGGATTCTTTCTCAGTTATGGGAGAGTCTATTGTGATATCAATTTGTGTATACTGATGTCAGTTGTATACACAACCCTCACTTAGGAGAGGATCCCTATGACGATATGGACGTTTCGGTCCAGAAAGGACCGAAACGTCGTAATAAGCATATTGCACATCGTTCCATCCACGGCACTGTGACTTTCTTACTCACCTTGATATCAGTTTTGATGTCATACATTATAGAGCCTCGTGTTGATGTCAGCCGTGGTAATATATTATGCTCAAGATATTAACTTTACCGAGAACTGCAAATACCTGGTGGGTTTTGTGTCTCAAGTTTTACCCGGAAAATAATGGTACCATAAAGCTGGTCTGATCTATATGTTTACCTGTGAAGGTGACACTGCACAGGACTCCAAGCACGGCTGTCAGCACGAGGAGACGCCTCAAGTACACTGTACGTGTCCTGAAGAAGACGAACAAGAAGACAACGGAGATAAATAGTCTTTCATGAAGGAGAACTATATGATTTCTTGTATTTAGAACAGAAAAAAAAATGTTTTATTTGTTGAAGATGGAAATGGGTGTACGAGATATCTGCAACATGGGGAATGGGTGAAGAACAACAGTAACAAGAACAGTAGTAACAGTAATAAGAACAGTAACAACAGCAATAATAGGAACAAATGGCAACAATAACAGTAACAAAACAGTAGCAGTAACAAGAATAACAATCAAAACAGTGGGTAAGACACATAGGCAACAGTTAGGCAACTTTATTCCGAAACGTTTCGCCTACACAGTAGGCTTCTTCAGTCGAATACAGAAAGTAGGCAGGAACAGTAGAGATGTGAAGACGATGTAATCAGTCCATCACCCTTGAAGTCGTAGAATTTGAGGCTGTCAGTCCCTCGGTCTGGAGAAGTTCAGTTCCATAGTCAGGAACTATCTGAAGATTAAGCGACAGTGCGGAGACTTAAATACTGTCGAAAGGAGAGGTGCAGAGTAGTAGTAGTAGTGAGAATGTAGCCACTGAGAGGTCGGTCCCTCTCAGATCCAACAGTTCTCACTTGAAAGGGTTGTCTAAGGCGTTTTCTGTACCAAGAGGCCATGTGTTGCAGTGTCTGACAAGGTGGATCTGAGAGGGACCTGACCTCTCAGTGGCTACATTCTCACTACTACTACTACTCTGCACCTCTCCTTTCGACAGTATTTAAGTCTCCGCACTGTCGCTTAATCTTCAGATAGTTCCTGACTATGGAACTGAACTTCTCCAGGCCGAGGGACTGACAACCTCAAATTCTACGACTTCAAGGGTGATGGACTGATTACATCGTCTTCACATCTCTACTGTTCCTGCCTACTTTCTGTATTCGACTGAAGAAGCCTACTGTGTAGGCGAAACGTTTCGGAATAAAGTTGCCTAACTGTTGCCTATGTGTCTTACCTACCAACATGTCGGTATTGTATACCATTTTTGATGTTCAATCAAAACAGTACTTGTTGGCAATGCCCTGCCACCAGTCCTGCCACCAACCCTGCCACCAACCCTGCCACCAACCCTGCCACCAGCCCTGCCACCAGCCCTGCCACCAACCCTGCCACCAACCATGCCACCAACCCTGCCACCAACCCTGCCACCAACCCTGCCACCAACCCTGCCACCAACCCTGCCACCACCCTGCCACCAACCCTGCCACCAGCCCTGCCACCAACCCTGCAGTGCCCACAGTTCTTCATGTACATAAGTTTACCCTGGGTCTGGGAGGTGTGTTTAGGTGTCTTTATGTCGCATAAACTGTGAGAGTTGGGCACAGCTGGTGCTGTGTCATCTGGTGCTGTGTCATCTGGTGCTGTGTCAGCGTGAAGTGTCAGATAGTACTGTGTCAGTTGTGTACTGTGCGTGTCAGCGAAGTGTCAGATAGTACTGTGTCAGCTGGTGCTGTGTCAGCTGGTGATGTGTCAGCTAGTACTGTGTCAGTTGATGTGTCAGCTGGTGCTCCATCAGCTGGTGCTGTGTCAGCTGGTGATGTCAGCTGGTGTATCGTGAGTCTGAAGGTGGTCTATGCCTGATCTGGGACCGTGGAGCGGGGACGGCGATCCCCGGGAAGCAGTTACAGGTAACCTACATGTAACTTACAGGGAACGTACAAGGAACCTACAGGAACCTATAGAAACTTACAGGAGATTTCTAGAGGAACTTACAAGGAACCTAGAGCAATCTACAGGGAACCTACAGGGAGCATACAATGATCCAACAGGAACCTACAAGATCCTACAAGGAACCTATAAGGAACCTAAGAGGAACCTACAGGAACTTACAGGAGCTTACGGGATTCTGCAGAAACTTACAAGGAACCTAGAGCAACCTACAAGGAACCTACAGGGAACCTAGAGCAACCTACGGGGAACCTACAAGGAACCTACAAGTAACCTACAGGGAATCTACAAGTAACCTACAAATAACCTCCAAAGAACCTACAAGTAACCTACAGGGAACCTACAAAGAACCTACAAGTAACCTACAGGGAACCTACAAAGAACCTACAAGTAACCTACAGGGAACCTACAAAGAACCTACAAGTAACCTACAGGGAACCTACAAGTAACCTACAGGGAACCTACAAAGAACCTACAAGTAACCTACAGGGAACCTACAAGTAACCTACAGGGAACCTACAAAGAACCTACAAGTAACCTACAGGGAACCTACAAGTAACCTACAGGGAACCTACAAGTAACCTACAGGGAACCTACAAGTAACCTACAGGGAACCTACAAGTAACCTACAGGGAACCTACAAGTAACCTACAGGGAACCTACAAAGAACCTACAAGTAACCTACAGGGAACCTACAAGTAACCTACAGGGAACCTACAAGTAACCTACAGGGAACCTACAAAGAACCTACAAGTAACCTACAGGGAACCTACAAGTAACCTACAGGGAACCTACAAGTAACCTACAGGGAACCTACAAGTAACCTACAGGGAACCTACAAGTAACCTACAGGGAACCTACAAGTAACCTACAGGGAACCTACAAGTAACCTACAGGGAACCTACAAGTAACCTACAGGGAACCTACAAGTAACCTACAGGGAACCTACAAGTAACCTACAGGGAACCTACAAGTAACCTACAGGGAACCTACAAGTAACCTACAGGAACCTACAAGAACCTACAGGGAACCTACAAGTAACCTACAGGGAACCTACAAGTAACCTACAGGGAACCTACAAGTAACCTACACAGGGAACCTACAAGTAACCTACAGGGAACCTACAAGTAACCTACAGGGAACCTACAAAGAACCTACAAGTAACCTACAGGGAACCTACAAGTAACCTACAGGGAACCTACAAGTAACTCGACCTACAGGGAACCTACAAGTAACCTACAGAAAGGAACCTACAAGTATAGACCTAACAGGGAACCTACAAGTAACCTACAGGGAACCTACAAGTAACCTACAGGGAACCTACAAGTAACCTACAGGGAACCTACAAGTAACCTACAGGGAAACCTACAATAACCTACAGGGAACCTACAAGTAACCTACAGGGAACCTACAAGTAACCTACAGGGAACCTACAAGTAACCTACAGGGAACCTACAAGTAACCTACAGGGAACCTACAAGTAACCTACAGGGAACCTACAAGTAACCTACAGGGAACCCAATACATCAACCTCTCACCTGAGTCAATATATTTGTTTATGTAAGTTCATATCGTCAATATTGATGACTGTCATCACTGTACCTTAGCTTGGTGGAGAGCTCTTGATGCAAGGAGTTGAAACTAGCCTTCCCTTTCCTCGGATCAAACCTAATTACATTTTTTTTAATTCCTTCAGGTTCCTTGCTGGTTCAGCTCTTTCTTTCTTGAGAAAATATAATAATAATAATAATAATAATTTATTATTATTATTATTATTATTTTAATATCAATATGATAACATTACGTAAGTATTATTATTTTAATATAATTATAGGTATTATATTAATATAAATATAATAATAGCTATTATTATTATTAGTAGTAGTAGTAATATTATTTCTTCATTGTTATTATTATTAATTATAATACCCATTATCATTGGTAATATTATTATATTGATGTTAATGTAATAATAATTATGATTATTTACACTTGACACTCATCTTTGGCACTGCATCAGCCTGGGTGGCACACCTGCAGCCAGCCTCGCCCGGCTGCCTCACACACACACACACTTGCTGGTGCCAGATTTGATGTTCTCCCGTGACACAAAGTTGCGTGTGAAAGGTGACACTCCAGTTTTTTTCTGAGGGTGTTGTCAGCCAGGTTTCAGCTCTTGTACGCTCAGATGCTTGTTGCTGACACCCGCTGGTTACCTTCGTGGTTTCGTCAGCTATTTTTCCTGGCATTCTGCACTCGAATGCACACCTGTTGGCGTGGTCATTCTTCTGAATATGCTACATTCCACATTTTCCTTGTGTTCTTTCTCATTCTCATCACTAGATGTCCCTC